TTTTTTTTTTCAAAACGGAGAAACCACTTTGCGGATGAGGGTTGCTACAATAATTTATTTCTTCAAATTGCTGTTTTGATTTTATTAAATCTGTTGACAAAACGGAGAAAAACAAACCTGAACAGCCATCTTTGCAGGAAGACCATAGCCAAAGCCGCTTGCTTGCAGTCTCATGTCGAAGATACACCGTTCAAGGGGAACTGAAATTACCAAAGATCAGGAGGACTAAAGAGGAATCGTGAGAAAGGTTTACAATCAGAAAAGGCTAGTGGGAACGCAAGTATGTAATTTTACTTATCACGATGCTTATCTGTGGAGTAGTATAACAGAAATCTGTTGCAGCCCAATCCATAACTTTAAATGCCCATTTGTTGAGTAGCTCGATGTTACCAATGTTAGTTTTTAGCGTGAATTTAATCAAGGTTAAAGACGTTTGTTGTATCAGGCTGCCCTTCTTAATGCAATAAAAAAATAGCCAGTATTTTGTATTTACATGCAATCTGCGCAAAAATGCATAAAAAGGTTGGAAGAAGCTGTCACGTGTTCATAGTAAAGGCACAAGAGTTTTCAAAGCAGCACAAAAAACGGGGTTTTGAATTATTGTGGTAGATAAAATCTACTTAGAAAAGGATATTGAATTAGCTTCAAATATGTAAAAAGAATTATTGTACTTGAAGGGAGATATCTTCTCTTATCTCCGCACTGTCTAGACCATACCTTTTTCAGCCAATTCGCCCCTTCTTTTAATCTCAGAGCAAGATTTTGAGACCATTAAAACAAGCAATGATTTACCTCGAGGACAGTCAGCAGTAGGCTTTGCAATGATAAATTTTCTCTGGTTCAAGTGACTTTCCACAACCTAAAAATTTTCTTTTCGTAAAGCGCTTGGTCGGTATACTAAATAAAGCATTACCTCAACGTTTCGATAAGCATCGTCAGGGATGATATAGATATTATTAGCTTCAAGTTCTGGTTGTTCGTTCATATCCAGCCAGGACACGATGTCTGTTTGTAGTGACGACGAAATACTGGGATTGTAGCGCAGTCCAGCTTGACCGG